TAGCAGAGAGAGGACTAATGAGGTCTCGGTTGTGTGGGCGGGACTTCCGGCGGCGCCCTCATGGATACGTTAGCATGGCTGCCTAGAGATCCGTTTACTGATTTAGGGAGTCCCAGAGCTCTGGGTCGGGACTGAGGTGACAGAGCAGAAAAACGCGAGAAGCGGTGTTCCTTCTACACAGAGGCTAAAGTGCGGATCGGCTGAGTCGGCTGCAGGCACCCCTGCCTCCCGCAGCGTCCAGGTGACCGCCGTTCCCGCCCCGCTCTTCCCTGGCTGGACCGGAGGAGGCCGCGCCGATGAACCTGACCCAGGTGCGTGCAGCGTCCCGGGCCGCCTCGCCCAACCCCTCCTCCCAGTGCTGAAGTCCCAAGGAGGGGCCCTGCAGGTTAGGCCCTTGTGTCTCTAAGAGAGGGGCGTTCTTGTGTGGGGTGCCCGGGACTGGGTCTGCCGTGCAATGAGTCGGGGGAGCTCCCGTCGGAGACCGACACGTCTCTGGGGCTTGGAGGCACTGGGGAGCCCGAGCGTCTTTGTCTCCAAGGAGCAGAGGTTGAGGCGGAGTCTCCCCTGGAAGGGCGGTGGAGCCGCAGAAAGCCTTAGAGGGCTGTTCAGGGAGGACGAATGGGAGGGTCACGCCCAAAGTTAGAAAGTTTAAAGTTGGGGAAAACAGGATGTTGAACGGGGGCAGGGGGACCGCCGAGGAGACCCCTTTGAGTTATGGTAGGGCTGGGCCAGAGGAGTTGCAGTAGAGGGGAGATGTGATGAGATTCTGGATGGATCTCAGAGGATTTCCTGCTGCATCAAACAGCTGTGAAGGAAAGTCGGTAGTGAAGGGTGTCTTCCGTAGGTTTTGTTTTGGCCTGAAAAATCTGAAAGAATGGAATTAAAGATATCAGCTTAAGGAGCAAGTTTCAGACAGAAGATCCTGGGTTGGATTTTGGGTGACATCACATGGGTAGGTGGACGTAATTTCTAAAGGTCAAGGAAGGTAGCTGGCCTGGAGCTTTAAATGAGTTAGAAGTTGTGCACTTGAGAAGCTGGCCTGTGGATCAGATTGAGAAGGAAGAATCCTAACATTGTTTTTTAGTATGGGCTGAGGGAGGGGAGGGCTCAGATTTGGAGATAAGACCATGGTAGGGAGGGCATCTCTGATACTCCCTGCAGAAGGGAGCAGATACGGGCTAAGAGTTTGGTCTGTTTCTGTTGAAAAAGAGGCCTGGATGGATAAGGAGTTGCCCTGGACTCCAGAGACTGAGGCATGAGATATTGTAGTCACTCCACCCTTCTAACTCAGCCAGCCCTGAGGGCCACTCTTTGGGGAACAAGATAAGGCCATGGAGCAGGTGGGTCCAAAACTGGGCAGGGCTTTCTCATATCCTCCACCACAGTTAAGGGCCTCCAGCAAGCTCCCTTTACTGAATTATCTGGCAGGCAGACCTGTTTGCTGAACGGACCAGTAACTGATTGATTGCTCAGCCCCATCCTGCAACTCATTAACTTAGGGATGTAAAAACAGGTAATTGACTTAAACACTAATGAACTGTATCAATCTTAAATAACCAAGCAAGTCAGAATCTAGTTTAAAGAGAGTTCACATGTTGATAATAGCCATCTGAGACCCTAGATTCAAGTTGTCCTGAATATACACTTCAATTAGCAGCAGTGACTTTTTTTTTTTTTAAGGAAAAAAGCAGTTTCTGAGTTGTTTACCAATAACTTATGTTAAAGTAACGTAAGTTTTTATTGGCTATACGTTGTTCTTTATATTATAGATTACAGAAACACGAAGATAATAGGTGAGACAGCTAGTCAGGAACAAAATGTCTTTAAACAGTTGTTCTCAGGCATCGGTTCAGGGATGTGACTGACATCTCATATTCTTGCCTCTCTGAGCCTGATACATTTTGTGTAGGTCAGACAGCTCTGGGCTATTTTTGTTTGTTTGTTTCTCAGTGAATATCCTTCTAAATATGTACACATAGGCAATTGGAAATAGATGTAATCAATAATTTAAACGTAGTAAAATATTTATTGTTAGAATGTTAATTTACCTGTAACTCTGCTTATAGTACAAATCTTTTTATATATCACATTTCCTTAAAACATTAAGAAGTGGGGGCTGGGCACAGTGTCTCACACCTGTAATCCCAGCACTTTGGGAAACGAAGGCAGGCAGATCACGAGGACAGGAGTTTGAGACCAGCCTGGCCAACATGATGAAACCCCGTCTCTACTAAAAATACAAAAATTACCCGGGCGTGGTGGTGGGAGCCTATAATCCCAGCTGCTCGGGAGGCTGAGGCAGGAGAATCGTTTGAACCTGGGAGGCGGACCAGTGAGCCGAGATTGTGTCATTGCACTGTAGCCTGGGCAACAGGGCAAGGCCCTGTCTCAAGAAAAAAAAAAAAAAGTGGGAAAAATACTCAAATTTTCGAAACCCTTCTACTTCATTTGTGCTGAAAACATGTACAAAACCATTAATCCTATAGAAAGTAATGCTTATACATAGTGTGTACTACTTATGCTTCTTGTCAATATGAGCCCTATGAAGTGGGAACCCTTTTAATCTCCATTTTACACATAAGGGCACTGAGGTTTAGAGAGGTTCAGTCCTTGTCCAAAGACACAGAGCTGCTAAGAGGCAGCACTGAACTTAGGACTTGCTGTAACTTCAGATTACTTTGCTCCAGTACAGGGCAGAGATGGTTGTACAGCTCAGCCTGTAGGATGCTGTAATACTGTCCTGATACTCGTGGCTTGCCTCTTCCTTGTTACAGGCCAAAAGAATGAGGGTTGTGATCAACTGAGTGTACCACTGGAGGCTATGTGAGTAAACAGCAAACTGTTTCTCATGAAAGCAGGATGTTGGCAAACTGACAAACTGCGTCTGCCCCCCAGAAAGAATGCTGAAGGTAGTCACAACCCAGGCACAAGTGAATTTCTTGTGATTAGGCATAATTGAAGCCTGTTAACAATGTGAACTTATGATCATTTAAGCGGCTGACCAGTCGTTACCTCCTCCTCCTTTTCATTCTACCCAATAAATGCGGAGGGCTGTGGAAGCTCAGGGGCTGCCTTTGCTCACTGGAAGCAGGGAGCTTTCTTCTTCCTCGGTTCGCCTTCTTTAAAACAGTTTCTTTTGTCTTAAGTTTTCATTTCTACATTCGTCCCCCTTCATTCAGTCTCGTAATGATGGTCTCAAGTAGTAACTGTACAAGTCTGTCACATCTTCCCACAGGGTCCCTGGCAGTGGCAGCAACGCATAAGGACCCTGCACAGGTAAGTCAATGGTTTCTCAGGCTCTCTCCCCAGTCCCCCACCACTTATCTCTCCAATATTTTAGGCATGCTGATACAGGGAAAGGTGGTGTCCTGAAACTTCATGTTTTTCCCTTCCTTGGGTCTGAAGACTGTGGTTCCACCACAACCAGGGGTCAGAACTCAGCCCCTGGTTATAGAGTGGTCCTGGTTCCGACAACTAATGGTCTAAGATGTGGCAGGGCATTCAGGCACAGGATATAGAAAGTTCAAATGCTTACTGGTGAGACTTAGCTGGGATGTTTAGTGAACTGAAAATTCATGTTCCATCTGGTCGTGATAGAGTATGGCAGCAGGGTAGGAGGTTGGGGCATGCAGGGATCAGCATGGAATGGCAGTCTAAGGTTCTGGGCTTTTCATCTGAGGGTGATGGTAACTGGGGAAGGTTTGAGCAGGGGAGAAAAAGAGGTGACCTGACCCAGATTTTAGTGGCTCCCTCTGCCTGCAGAATGGAAGACCATGTGGGGGTGAGGATGGAGCCACAGATACCTGGGTGATCGGTCCAGCAACAGTCCAGGTGGAGGTTGTTGGTGACTGAACGAGAGTGGCGGTGGTGGAAGTAGGAGGAGTGGGGGGCTTCTGTATGTGTTTGATTTAGAGCTGCCTGTATTTTATAATGTAGAGAGCAAGGAAGCTTGGGAGCTGAGATGGAAGAGGGGGTCAGGAATGACCCCACAGTTTTGGCCTTGTTTGGTAGGATGGATGTTCCAGCAACTAAGATGTAGTAAGTTCTGTAGTAGGGGGAGTGTTTTTGTAGTGGAGCATATGAGGAACCAAGTTTTGGCCAAGTAAAAAATGTTCCAGTGGCCAGGCATGGTGGATCACACCTGTAATCCCAGCACTTTGGGAGGCAGAGGTAGAAGATCACTTGAGGTCAGCCTGGGCAACATAGGGAGACCCTGTCTCTACAAATAATAATAAATAGCTGGGTGTGGTGGCGTCTGTCTGTGGTCTCAGCTAATCGGCATGCTGAGGCAGGAGGGTCGCCTGAGCCTGGGAAGTAAAGGCTGCGATGAGCCATGATTGTGTCCTGCACTCCAGCCTGAGCAACAGAGTAAGACCCTGTCTCCAAAAAACCAAGCCAAAACAAAAACAAAAATCGAAGCCAAAACAAAAACAAAAATACACAAAAAGTGTTTCAGAGACTTTGAGTGGAGGTGCGAGGCTGGCAGTTGTACACACAGGAATGGAGTTCAGTGGAGGTGTTCAGGATGGAGACATCCACTACATGATAGCTGAACTGTTGTGAAACTAGGTCAGACTTAGGAAGCAATGGTGTTAGTGGGAAGGAAGGAGAAGGAACAGACTGAGGACTGGGTGTCTCCACTGGGCACCTGGATGGTGTTGGTGGGTGTCACAAAGACAGATGAGAGTGGATCGACTGAAGGTGTGTGTATGTTTGTGTGTTATGTTGGGGGCGGCCTGTGGAGTATAAGGAAGGGCTTTTGAGGGGAGAGTCATGAGGTGGATGGTGAGGCATCTCCGCAAACTCACCAGGGTTTTGTGGCAAGTGTTGCTTGGACCTGGGTAGTTTCATGCAAACTGTGAGACTACTTTAGGGGAAGATGCGATCAGCAAGGAGCATTGCTAGGCCTGGGGTGGGGATAGCATTGGGGAGGTCAGTGTATCTGGGCTTTGGATTAGGATTAGGGGGATAGAGAAGGTTGTGACTGCTTATGGGACAGCATGTATAGTGCAAAAGAGGGAGACAGCCAAGATCTGGAACTCAGAGGAGGTATGCAAGAACTGTGAGGTTGTCATTTGGGTTTGGGGGGCTGAGGTTAAACCAGGAAACGGGACTGGGAAGGGAGACCTTCAGAACAGGGCTTGGTGCTGCCCCAGGCACTAGGGAACATTACATTCTGGGCAGCCCAGAGGCAAATAGGTTCTGGTGCACTGCAGGACTCCATGTACAGAGTGGCATCTTGAGAGGCCATGGTAATGCTCCTGGTTGGGCCAGGGCTGCTGTTAGTATTGCAAGAGTGGAGGAGTTAGATACATGAGAGATGTACTATCCAAAGCAAGATGTGAAGGTGAGGAGGAGCGTGAATGCATGGCCCCAGCCCTGGCAATGGGCATATAAGGGAGAAGAGTGAGTCTGAGTTTGGGTGTCTGAGAGGCAAGATCTGGAGACCCCAAGGAAACGGGGTGATAAAAGAAGGTAGGGCTGGCCAGGCGCAGTGGCTCACGTCTGTAATCCCAGCACTTTGGGAGACCAAGGTGGGTGGATCACGAGGTCAGGAGTTTGAGACCAGCCTGCCCAACATGGTGAAACCCCGTCTCTACTGAAAATACAAAAATTAGCCAGGAGTGGTGGCAGATGCCTGTAATCCCAGCTACTCAGGAGGTTGAGGCAGGAGAATTGCTTGAACCTGGGAGGTTGCAGTGAGCCACTGCACTCCAGCCTGGGCGACAGAGCGAGACTCCCTCTCAAAAAAAAAAAAGAAGAAGAAGAAGAAGATAGGCGCCCTGGGCTAGGCTTTGATGATGCTTTTGCTTTCTCCCCACCCATCTCTGAGCTGTGCTGGACTCAGCAATCAGTAGCAGTGGGGGTGAGAGAAGTGCAGATGCTACCAGGATGTGGAGTCTCTTCCTCCTTGGGAAATGGGTGGAGGCTAAGCAGGGGGATGGATATGTGTGGGTATTGGGGAAGCACTGAAGATTCTGGAGAGGAAAGTGTATCAGTGATTGGCCCACTGGATTTTAATTTTTGGAAAAGAGTGAGTGATGACAGAGAAGCTAATGGCATTGAAATAATTTTTATTACTTTCATTTCCTTAGTGCAGGGGGAATGCCATGCTGCACTAGGCCACAGGAAATGCTAGATTTGGTCAGGAGGCAGAGGCATGACTGAAGGGAAAGCATACATCAGAGACCGTATTGGGGTTTTGGCAGGAAAGGCATGCAAGGCGGGATGAGGAGCTTCAAACTCGGTGGTTTGCATAAGTCTGGCAGCCTTAGGGCTTAGAGATTATCCTTTATTGTGTGGTGACAGGGCTTGTGTTGATTAGGATAGGAGAAATAATCATGTATGAGCATTAGATAGTGGTTCAGCATATGGGATCTGGATTGCAAGGGAAATATAAAAACATTGGCTGTTAGTTTGGCCCTCCAATTCTCAGATTTTAAGTAGATAAATACAGATCTAAGGAAACACAGAAGAAGAAGTTGTTCACAGACTGAAGTGTCATAATTTTGGCAGGAGTGTATGTGGTCTTTGAGGATGTGGCCATATATTTCTCCCGGGAGGAATGGGGGGATCCTTAATGATGCTCAGAGACACCTGCACAGCAATGTGATGTTGGAGAACTTTGCACTTTTGTCATCAGTAGGTAAGGCCTTCATACCTACTCTGGTGTCTTGTGCTGGGTGCTGTTTTTTTGCTCTTTTCCATGACAACTCTGTCTTTCTCACACCAGAGTGTGGGTGCTATGTCCTGTCCTCTCCTGGTTTCCTGGCAAATGTGATGAGGCAGCCAGAGCTGGGCTGTATATACTGTACTACCTCCCCTTAGGCAGCCCCAGCTTCTGTTGCTCTGAAACTTTACACGATAAGTCTCGGATGTCAGAAATCTTCATGGGTTTTTTTTGTGTTTTTTGTTTTTTGTTTTTTGAGACAGAGTTTCACTCTTGTTGCCCAGGCTGGGCAGTGTCATGATCTTGGCTCACCACAACCTCTGCCTCCCAAGTTCAAGCGATTCTCCTGCCTCAGCCTCCCGAGTAGCTGGGATTACAGGCATGCGCCACCACGCCCGGCTAATTTTGTATTTTTAGTAGAGATGGGGTTTCTCCATGTTGGTCAGGCTGGTCTTGAACTCCCTACCTCAGGTGATCTGCCCGCCTCGGCCTCCCAAAGTTCTGGGATTACAGGCGTGAGCCATCGTGCCCAACCCAGGTTTCTTTAAGATACCCTAATGGTGGTGCCTGTCGCTGATTTGATTACTCTGTCCAGATGCATGAAACCTCCATCCAAGGGTTTCCCTGTTCCCCTTGCTGCCATACTTGGAGACAGTGTCTGTACTAGGAATTTCAGGTACCTCCCTGGTCACCACTTGTGAGGGTTGTGAAGTTATTTCTGCAGGACCCTCTGCTGTATGTTCTGGTAACTTTAGAATGCAGCGTGTCCTGCGTTTATTGCTCTGTGTACATGCTGTCCCCTCCCTTTCCCTGCCTTTCCCCTAGCTTGATTTATGCTGCAGCTAGATAGTTGCTCACCTTGAGCAAGGGGGAGGTCTTTGGGTGCCTGGCGGAGTGGATAGTCCTCTATTAATGGCAAGAGACACTCAGAAGGACTTGGCCCTGGTGGGTGAAAGCTGGGAAAGGATGTGATATCAGGGCTAGGTTCAGATCACATTCAGAACTTACCTTGTGACCACTATTGTTTGATGCAGGGCCACTGGCCACCCCTCACTCTTCCTTTCCTTCCCTGTTATTTTTACTCTGACTTCCAGCCCCTGGCTTCCATCTCTGACCCCTCCTATCCAGCCTTCATCTCTCCACCATTCTCTTCCACCACTCCCTTTGCAGTGCTGTCTAATGTATGACCGGTACTTTAGGTGTTATGAGGTCTGCATGTATCCTTCAGTAGTCCATGAATACTCGCTGTCACACAATCAGATCTCTCTGGATCTGGACACAACAGTCATGGCCCGTTGAAAGCCATTTGTAGAGAAGCGAGTTGGAGACCCCGCCTGCCCTCCCTGCTTGGTACTTCTCCCTTGTGTCCTTACCACCAGGGTTCCCCCACTACACACACTTGACAGGCCCACCTCGGAACAGTGGGCCTTCTTCTCACTGGCCTTATTGCCTTGCCTGTGACCAATCCTGTGCCCTCATTTGTGGGTGTGTCTCACAGACATTTGTGATGGGGCTGCCTCCTCCCTCCAGAGTTCACATGCACTTCACCAGCATTTCTGTTCTTACAGGTTGTTGGCATGGAGCCAAGGATGAGGAGGTACTTTCCAAGCAATGTGTTTCTGTAAGAGTGTTACAGGTCACAGCTCCAAAGCCAGCTTTGTCCACCCTGAAGGCCCAGCCCTGCAAGACATGTAGCTCACTTCTGAAGGACGTTCTGCACATGGCTGAGCATGACGGAACACACCCTGAGCAAGGGCTGGACACGTGTGCAGCAGGGCATGACCTGCAGCAAAAGGAGCAGGCTAGAGAGAAGCTCACCAGAAGTGATGAGTGGAGCCCTTCATTTGTGAACTACAGTGCTCACGGGGGAGAGAGGAACTTCACATGCACACAGGGTGGCAGGGATTTTACTGCCAGCTCAGACCTTCTCCAGCAACATGTCTTGAACAGTGGGCGGAAGCTATACAGAGATACTCAGGATGGGGAAAACTTTCAAGGTAAACAGAATGATTTCAACTCCAGCCAAGGTGGGAAAGACTTTTGCCACCAACACAGGCTGTTTGAGCATCAAAAAACCCATAATGGGGAGAGGCCTTATGAGTTCAGTGAATGTGAGGAATTGTTTAGGTACAACTCCAACCTTATTAAATATCAGCAAAATCATGCTGGAGAAAGGCCTTATGAGGGCACTGAATATGGAAAGACCTTTATTAGAAAGTCCAACCTAGTTCAGTGCCAGAAAATTCACACTGAAGGCTTTCTTTCAAAAAGGTCTGACCCCATTGAACATCAGGAGATTGGCAGTAGACCAACGCCTCATGAATGCACCCAGTGTGGGCTTTCCTTACACAGGCTCATCTGGTTGGTCACCAGAAAATCCGTACTGGAGAACAGCCCTACGAATGCAACAAGTGTGGGGAATTTTTTATGTGTAACTCTAAACTCATTAGACGTCAGAAAGTTCACACTGGGGAGAGGCATTACGAGTGTAGCAAATGTGGGAAATTGTTTGTGGACAGCTCCACACTTGGTAGACATCAGAGTTCATACAGGAGAAAGGCCTTTTGAATGCAGCATATGTGGAAAATTCTTTAGTCACCGCTCCACACTCAGTATGCACCAGAGAGTTCATACTGGCAAAAAGCCTTATAAGTGTAATGAATGTGGGAAAGCCTTTAGCCTCAAACATAATGTCGTTCAGCACCTGAAAATTCACACTGGAGAACGGCCTTATGAGTGCACTCAATGTGGGAAGGCCTTTGTTAGAAAGTCCCACCTAGTTCAGCACCAGAAAATCCACACTGAAGCATTTTCAAAAAGGTATGACCTCATTCCACACGAAAGGATTGACATCAGGCCAAGGCCTTAC